ACACACACACACACACACACACACACACACACACACACATCATCGCGAAAATAGTCAAAACGGATTCAGGGGACCTCAAAACGTAAAAATACGTCGAAAACTCGAGGTCGAAAAAAATCATGATTCCTATACTTTCCTTATATCTGTATACAGATAGGAAAGTAAAAATATATAAATCTTAGCTTTACTGTAAAATATGCATATTGTTTCTACAAAATAAGAAATATTATGAGTCTACTTACACAATAAATCGAAAATTCAGCATAAAAAAAAGCACTCACAATACTCTTATCGCCAATACAACACTAAATCGTCGTAATATTTACGACGCAATGCGTAATTTCCTCACTTTCGCTGAAAATCCGACCAATGTGGACCCACCAACGATTAGCACAGTACTAAAGAGGAAGCTACTGGGAAACCCAAATCTGCAAGACTTTTCGTTGTTGCTAAATTTCGGGAGAAATAATTCGTCGTCGTATTAGTACTCTAGGGTTAATAAAATATTCTAAGGTGATTTCAAAAATAAATACACAAACTCTATCAAATATTTAGGCATTGTACTCATATGGGATCACCATATAACAACCAACCTTCCGAAAAATCTGAGATGTGTAGTATATAAAATAAAATAACTTTCTTACATACTCGAAGAGCACATTTAAAAATTTAAGCAGATTTAAATTAACATGGCTGTAATATAAAATCTGGGATAACCAGTATATGAAACTCGGGTGAGCAGAAAAACTTATATCCCGTTACTCAAACTTATTCGGAAATCGAATGAATTCAAAATAAATTGGAATTTCAAAATAAATTGGAATTTCCGTATTAGTGTCATCGATTGTGTTGAAAAGCAATCATTCAAACCAATCGCGCATGCTGTCACTCAGAGGATATAAACGTAGGACTCAACAATTTCCAAAACATATCACGGTGCTAGAAAGCGATCAATTCTCTACACTTCTTTTTTTTTTGTTTATTTTTCTTCGATTTTTCAATTTGCACCGGTTTAAAATGTAAACTTTTGCGAGGTTGTTAATTGATGAATTTTGTTTTAACTAAGAGATTTGTGGCTTTATACTAGGGAGGTGGAAGTGTCATATTGAACGTACTAAATAAATTGCAATACAAGGTGAAGGTTATTTAAAACTAACAGTAGGGTAAGATAAATTGATCCAGGTGAGAATATAGCATATAAAGTTTATCGGACATACCTATTTTAAGAATTTTAAGCATAATTTCAATCGACTCTTTATAGTAGGGGACCCCAAGAGGATAAATGGGGATTTACTCGTAAGTCCTGGGGACCTTTTGGATTGTAAAGATTAGATGCTAGAAAAAATTTTTTATATGATGTATGCATTTTCACGGGTGGGGGGAAAGCGAAAAAAAATAGTCACAAAAAAATACTTAGGCGCATTAGATATTAATAGTGTATGCGTCCCACGTGTTTCGGATAACGGAGGAATATTAATCTGCCGGTTTGAATGGTGGGGGTGGTCGTACAAAGGGTTAAAAATAGTAAAAAAAAATGGTAATCAAGCGCGTCTGATATTCAGAAGGGATGTTAAATAATCCCATAAGGAGCTCCTATTTAAAAGACTGATTTGGACGCCACCAAAACTGAAATACTCGAGCGCATCAGATTAATATATAGACGGTTCAGCTTGATGTTCTTGTCGTGTTGACCCGTAATCTGAAGGTTTGAAAAAAAAAATTTCAATTTTTTTTTCCTGAATGCAATACAATTAACAAAAAATGATATATCGTTACCTTAACATTTAAACCTTCTAACAGCATAGGTAATAATTTTACAGGAAACACCGTTTCATTTAGATATTAGAAGAAAAAAAAGGAATTAGATCATTAGGTCTTTTTTAAAAGCTTCCTTGTAATATCTAAATGAAACGGTTTTGTCTTCTCCTGTAAAATTATTACTTATGAAGTAAGAAGGTTTACATGTTAAGGAACCGATATAAGACACTAGTCAAGGCCCGGATTCAGATTTTTAAATTCTGTATTTCTTATTTTTGAGTTTCTGAAAAAGTTATTTAAAAAAAAAGTTTATTTTAACAAGTTCCCTATTTTATTTGTTTGGAATGTATCACTACGAACATTTAGCTCACTTGCCAATTTTTCCGATTTTTGCGATTTTACGATGTTTCCGATTTTTCCGGTATTTCCGGTTTTTCCGATGTCTTCGATTTTTCAGATTTTTCAGATTTTTCAGATTTTTCAGATTTTTCAGATTTTTCAGATTTTTCAGATTTTTCAGATTTTTCAGATTTTTCAGATTTTTCAGATTTTTCAGATTTTTCAGATTTTTCAGATTTTTCAGATTTTTCAGATTTTTCAGATTTTTCAGATTTTTCAGATTTTTCAGATTTTTCAGATTTTTCAGATTTTTCAGATTTTTCAGATTTTTCAGATTTTTCAGATTTTTCAGATTTTTCAGATTTTTCAGATTTTTCAGATTTTTCAGATTTTTCAGATTTTTCAGATTTTTCAGATTTTTCAGATTTTTCAGATTTTTCAGATTTTTCAGATTTTTCAGATTTTTCAGATTTTTCAGATTTTTCAGATTTTTCAGATTTTTCAGATTTTTCAGATTTTTCAGATTTTTCAGATTTTTCAGATTTTTCAGATTTTTCAGATTTTTCAGATTTTTCAGATTTTTCAGATTTTTCAGATTTTTCAGATTTTTCAGATTTTTCAGATTTTTCAGATTTTTCAGATTTTTCAGATTTTTCAGATTTTTCAGATTTTTCAGATTTTTCAGATTTTTCAGATTTTTCAGATTTTTCAGATTTTTCAGATTTTTCAGATTTTTCAGATTTTTCAGATTTTTCAGATTTTTCAGATTTTTCAGATTTTTCAGATTTTTCAGATTTTTCAGATTTTTCAGATTTTTCAGATTTTTCAGATTTTTCAGATTTTTCAGATTTTTCAGATTTTTCAGATTTTTCAGATTTTTCAGATTTTTCAGATTTTTCAGATTTTTCAGATTTTTCAGATTTTTCAGATTTTTCAGATTTTTCAGATTTTTCAGATTTTTCAGATTTTTCAGATTTTTCAGATTTTTCAGATTTTTCAGATTTTTCAGATTTTTCAGATTTTTCAGATTTTTCAGATTTTTCAGATTTTTCAGATTTTTCAGATTTTTCAGATTTTTCAGATTTTTCAGATTTTTTAGATTTTTAGATTTTTTAGATTTTTTAGATTTTTCAGATTTTTCAGATTTTTCAGATTTTTCAGATTTTTCAGATTTTTCAGATTTTTCAGATTTTTCAGATTTTTCAGATTTTTCAGATTTTTCAGATTTTTCAGATTTTTCAGATTTTTCAGACTTTTCAGATTTTTCAGATTTTTTAGATTTTTTAGATTTTTCAGATTTTTCAGATTTTTCAGATTTTTCAGATTTTTCAGATTTTTCAGATTTTTCAGATTTTTCAGATTTTTCAGATTTTTCAGATTTTTCAGATTTTTCAGATTTTTCAGATTTTTCAGATTTTTCAGATTTTTTAGATTTTTACGATTTTTCTATTGTTCCGACTATCCGCTTTTCAGATTTTTGTGTATTTTTGTTTATTTTTGTTTATTTTTGTTCATTTTTGTTTATTTTTGTTTATTTTTGTTTATTTTTGTTTATTTTTGTTTATTTTTGTTTATTTTTGTTTATTTTTGTTTATTTTTGTTTATTTTTGTTTATTTTTGTTTATTTTTGTTTATTTTTGTTTATTTTTGTTTATTTTTGTTTATTTTTGTTTATTTTTGTTTATTTTTGTTTTATTTTTGTTTTATTTTTGTTTATTTTTGTTTATTTTGTTTATTTTTGTTTATTTTTGTTTATTTTTGTTTATTTTTGTTTATTTTTGTTTATTTTTGTTTATTTTTGTTTATTTTTGTTTATTTTTGTTTATTTTTGTTTATTTTTGTTTATTTTTGTTTATTTTTGTTTATTTTTGTTTATTTTTGTTTATTTTTGTTTATTTTTGTTTATTTTTGTTTATTTTTGTTTATTTTTGTTTATTTTTGTTTATTTTTGTTTATTGTTGTTTATTTTAATTTATTTTTGGTTGTTTTTGATTATTTTTGTTTATTTTTGGTTATTTTTAGTTTTTGTTGCAAATTTTTAAATGTCTTCACATTTTAGAGAATTTCAAATTTTTTTATTATAAATTTGAAAATTATTGTTAGAGAGTGACAAAAGTAATTGATGTGAGATTTAATAAGTTTTGGCGATAAGCCATTAGGACCACAAGTATATTTAAATTTAATTTTTTTAGCTGCCTGTCTGTATTTGATTTTGTTATTTAATTTATATTTAAGTACTGTATTCATACTATGAATAAGATATTGTATCAATTTCTAACATAACACCACCTCCCACTTGGCTATACGAGCTTTCTTTGCAGTAAACATTGAATTTATCCGAAAACAATTCAATGTAAACTCCATTTTGAAGCAAATATAATAATCAGGAAGTCTAAAGACCACCGTTCGTCACCATATGTAACAACCATGAAGTCTAAAGACCATTTGTAACACAAACAAAACACTTTAAAAATAAGTTAAAGCTATTTACCCATAGTTCACAAATCACTGCACAAAAATTTACTTTACACATTACTTTGTTTCGGAACTTAGGGTTCCAAAAACGAGGGTTCTGACCCTCAGTCCTTACTCAAGTCTTTTTTTCTTTCTGTCTTGTATTTGCTAGAATGTCCTCTTTCTACCTTGAATTCTCTAGTTCAATCTAAACCATTGACTGGGGCAATAACCTGTTTGTTTTATTTCCATAAGTTTTTTTTTTGAATTTTTAATTTAAAACATTAAAAATACTTTTAATTAATTTTTGGTAAATTATTTATATTTTAAAATGATAATACGAATTATTATACAAGCTCTCTGTCACAGCTTTCAATATTAAAAATACCATCGATAAATAAATGTTATTTTTATAAATAAATTATACTTATTTCTTTAATTTGTTTCAGATGCACAACTCTACTGAAAGTGTGGTAGTGTTATCGTCAGTTCAACTGTCATCGACAGGTACATATAGATGCGAAGTATCAGGAGAAGCACCTTTTTTTGAGACTGTGACGGATCATCAGAAAATGACAGTTGTCGGTAAGTCGCTAACATTTTTTAATACATTATCTGTTGTTAAAACTTTTTTCCTAGGCAAACTTGTGTAATTTTAAGTTGATTCCAATTAAATCGTTCATGTTTTTAATTAAATTGCTCGTGGACTCTCTTTGTGCAACAACCATCGTATCGTAGAAAATGTCTTTTTTCGCGGCGTCAGTAATAATTAAACAAGAAAATAAAAAGTCAGATAAACTATTTTATTTACACGGAACATCGTCTAGTAAATTCCAATTAACTTATGTAACCCCGGAAAGAGTCAGAGAGTGAATTATACAGAAACTCGGGGACCAAGTAGACGTTAAATAAAACTCCGCGGAGAACAGTAAAAACAATCCTCTCTCTTTCGAAATCTTGATTCGTTCTAAAAACATTTCCTAACATTCATCGTGGCAGGAACAGTGGCCCTTCGAGGACGTCGAAAAGGTTGAAATTTAAAAGAACTTTAAAAATAAAAATATTAAGTAAGATGATTTTCATGGCATGACAAAACATAAAAAAAATCGAATATCAAAATATTGACCAGAAATATACCGAAAACATAATATCGAAAATGGAAATAACCAGGATCAAAATATCGATGGTGTAATATAAATTAAAATTTCTGATTATCGAAAATATAAAATAATTAAAAAAAAAATAAAAATCGAAATCTAAAATTATAGAAAAATAAAAATATCGAGAAATAAAAAAATCGGAAAATTAAAATTCGAAAAAACATCATCACTTCATCAACGTACGAGAAGCCCTGCTAAAATTTATTAAAAAATGTAAAACAAATCACAATTTAGGTCATAAAAATGACTTTTTCGCTTATTGAAATTTAAAATTTACACAAATTTGCATCCGATGAATCCAATCTCTTTAAAATATTTTTTTCTAAATCAAGGTATTTAAATACTTTAAAGGCCTCTTTAGGCGATGAAAAACATTCGCTAGGCTTTACATTTTTAATTTTTTATAATAAAAAACCATAAATAACAAACTATATTTTCTTACATATTGCTATGGTGTTAAACCGTATTGAAAATTACAAAAAATTGACACTCGAAAATCATAATTTAATTTTTTCATTTTCCAAACAGCTAATTAAATTACTTCTGTTGTAACGAAGCTACTTTTAAAAAATTCAAATATGGACTGGCTTATAGCAAGTATACAATCATAGATAATAATGTAATTATAGCAAATATAGCGATTATACCGATTATAGACATTTTATCAATTATAGAAATTATAATAAATCTAACAAATATAACAATTTTTAACAATTATAGCAATTATATAAATTATAACAATTATAGCAATTATAACAATTGTAGCCACTACAGCCATTATAGCCAATAAAACAATTATAGTTATTTTAGCTTATATTATATTATATTATATTGATTTTTATATCAATTATATCGATTATTATATCGATTATTATGTCGGTTATTATATCGATTATTATACTGATTATTATTACGATTATTATATTGATTATAGCGAACATAGCAGTATAAAAATTATAATATTTATAAGAATGATAACAATTATAGGCGGTATGACAACTATAATGATAATAATAGCGACTATGCCGATTATAGCAACTATAGCTGTCACAGGGATTTTATAAGCGGCGGCTGAGCATTTAAATGTTGTCCTTAAGTGATTCTAATATAGTTACGCTTTACATATCAACTAGTATTATTAATAAAATTAAAAAACCTAATTAAACGACATGCAATGTAAAAATTTAGTACGTTCATGGTGCTATCGAAATAGGGAAGGGCGATACTGTTCTAAATATCGATACTCCGTATCGATACGTATCGTTTTAAAATTATTGATACTTAAAAATAAGCACCTTAAAATATCGTTATTGTATAAAATCAATATTTTTCGATATAATTACACATAATTATGCTAAATAAATTTTATTCCAAATAATACCTACTATTCAGGGTAAAAGTTCAGTGATAATCCAAAAATATATTTATCTATCATAAAAATAAAAGACAAACTAAAAAATAGAACAAAGAAAAATGTATAAAATATAACAAAAAAAAAACTATATGATATCTTTTATAAATGTATTGCCCTAAATATACTGTGCAATCTTTCAATATAAACCATACATTTTTATTATTTTTTATTTTTTTTTATTATTTGTTATTATTTGTTATTATTTTTTATTATTTTTTATTATTTTTTATTTTTTTTTATTATTTTTTATTATTTTTTATTAATTTTTATTAATATTATTTATTTTGTTTATTTATTATTTTTATTTATTTAATTTTTTATTTATTTTAATTTTTTATTTGTTTATTTTTATTTATTTATTCCCCCTCCTTAAAATGTGAAAATCCAAAAACCTTTAAATACGTCATTATATGAGCGCTACAATTCCAACTTTCATGTTCTCACTTTTAAAAAATTTATACATTCATCCCTCTTCCCCCTTCCCCCTTCTCCCTATTTTTTCCCTTTTCCACTTTCCCACTTTCCCACTTTCCCACTTTCCCACTTTCCCACTTTCCCCCTTTTCCTATTTCCTCTATTTCACCCTTTCTTTAAACTTTCGCATTTATGTAGTAGTAGGGTTTTATGATACTTCCCATGCCTCCCTCCTTTAAATGCGAAAATCCAAAAACCTTGAAATACGTCATTATTTACATTTATGAGTAGCTGCAATTCCAATTTAAAGGTACGTTTACATCTGACATTTATTGCATGATATTTATGTCTGACAGTTGTTTAGTCCAGTGTAAACACTCAAAAATATATGTCCGAGAGAAATTTTTATGTGTTTACACTGGACTAAACAACTGTCAGACATAAATCTCATGCAATAAATGTCAGATGTAAATGTACCTTAAGTCTTCACCTTACACCGTCATCTATTAGGAATTCATAGAACTAACCAATAAATACACAATATTTAGGCATTCCATACAAATGAAACGCGGTGCTAAGGTTTGGTATGTTTAAAGGGTTGCGACATACGATGTAGTCTATCTGCATTATATGAAATCACAAATGATGGATGAAATTTAAATATTTTATGTTGAACACAATGAAAATATTATTTTTAAAAAACCGCTAATTTTCTATAAATTGGCAGGCTCGGCGACTATTATTTCAAATAAAAATAGCGTCCAAGATGGAAGGCTATGTCGCTACCCTTTTAAATTTACTAACCCTTCCCGCTGTCAGCTATTGTTTGACAGGTCGTTGGAATGCCTAATTGTCGTATTATAGATATTTAATTTGCAATAACAAATATTGAGGTCAATAATTGAGATAAAAACTATCCTATCTTTTAAATTGGACCAAATTACAGATAGTTACCAAATTTTATCAAAATCCGTTCAGTAGTTTCGGAGTTTATCGCGAACATACATCGTGACACGAAATTTTTATATATATTTAGATAAGCTAACTAATAGTGGTGATAGAACTGGTTTATTTTATACGGAGTGTCTTGAAACATGTCCTTAATATGACTAATAAATTTACCTATCTAACGATGCCAACATGTTTTCCAATAACACATATACCGTGTGTCCCATCAGTGCGTAATTGATCGATAGCTGTTTTATTATTAAAAAAAAAATAATATAAAAGATTTATGACCATGTTTAATAAATATTCTTAAATATACAGGGTGGTCCGTAAATGAGGGGCTGAGCAAACTTATACATTTTTAAAGCAAAAACCCCGCAGGTACGTATTCGATTGTTTTCTCATAAACTAATAATTTTAATAGACTTCATTATTTGCTATGCTAGATATAGGGTGTTTTAAAATGTAGGGTAACGATTTTCTCATTTTTTTAAATGGAATACCCTATATGTTATACCATAAATTAATACAGGGTATTCCATTTAAAAAATTGAGAAAATAATAACTTCATGTTTTGACACACCCTATATACAACATAGCAAATGAATGTAGTAATTTAAAATTGTTTGACAATGTGAAACCAATAAAATACGTATAACTACCTGCAGGTTGTTATGCTTTAAAAAAATATCGATTTGGTGAGCACCTCGTTTATGGACCGCCCTGTATATTTAAGAATAATTATTGAATTAAATTTCATCGTATTTTTAATAATAAAAGAGCTATCGATTAATTACGCACTGATGGGACGCCCGGTATAAATGTTATTAGCTAACATATGGATATCGTTGTATAGACAAAGTTATAAGGAAAATTATGTTAAGATAATACAGGGTATTGCATTTAAAAAAATGAGTGAATTGAACTTTAAATTTACTATATTTAGGAAATGTTTTAAAGCACGCTGTATAACTATCACCACCATTCTCTAGATTAGTATCTTATAAGTCTGTATATTAAAAAAATTGTGATATCAATGTAAACTTACCTAAATTGAACAGTGGAAGTAACAAAGGTAACAAGTGCCAAAATATATATTTTGAGCTAATTAAGAAAAACATAATTTAACAACAAAATACATTATTTATTCTTTATTTGTTCCAAATTTAGTTTAAAAACCAAAAACCAGTTTAAAAACAAAAAACCAGTTAGGTGTATAAAATATATCAAAAAATAATGACATTTCTAAAAAAAATAGAAACGTAATAGTACCAACACAAAATTATCAATTTTAAAACACTGTGAAAGTCATATTTACTGTTCTGCTGCTACCAGCATCATTTTGAGCCACTTCTTTTACTCCTAGTAAGTTTTTGTAAAAAAATTGATAAGGTATCATGGAAATCTAACTTTTTTTGTTTTTAGAAATTTTGTTTCCTGTCAAAAGTACATGTAGTTCGGCTTTTCTTAAGTCATTCATAATTTTTTCCTTTTTAAAGACATTAGACTCGTTCCATGGAACAAAATTTGCAAAGGTTGTCCTTGTTTTCACAATCTCTCCTTCACGGAAACGTTCAGTGCCATTACTTTTACGAGTTTTTACATTAAGGTCATTCATGTTTTAAAAACAACAAACAACAAGATTGAAC